TATTTCTCATTGCATTTCTTATTATCAGCCTCAAAGTCAGCTATAATAACACATGGAGCATTGATCATTCGTCCATAATTCTTAAACTTCTCAAAGTCATTGATATCCTTGATAGGTAATTTGACTTTTTGAGTTGCTTCTCCCAAACGAAGACAATGTTCAAAATGATTTGCAAATGCTTTTTCTGATGGCAAGCTTATAGTATATTTTCTACAAAGATATCTTTTACCATGATGAGCGGTATCCCCATTAACTAGCCCATCTAAATTTTTTATCCAAAAAAAGTGGTTTTTTTGCTCATACTTGTCTTTAGATTTCGTAATATCTATAAGAGCCATAAGGTCAATAATATGTTGTCTTTTATAGTTTTTGCTAGCTATTACTGCTTTGGGAGTAGCTGTTTCTTTTTTCCATTCCCAAACATTAATAGAAATATCTGGATTCATCTCTTCTATCTTATTAAATATATATGAGCAAATTGGTGTAGGCATTGGGATTCCATCTAGCTTGACTATATTCAGATATGGTTATAAACTTTTGGCTCTATATATTCGTCTTCCTAGATAATCTGTTATGCCTGCTTTATCTGCAAAGTAACAACCTAATGCACCTTTGAGACAATTATCTGTGGGCTTACCTGTTGCTGGATTTATAATATCAGAATTATCTGGATTTATTGTGCATTTGGTATTAGCAAGCTTCTTTGAAGTGGAGATATATGATCCACCAGTTGTTCTTCGAAAAGTATAAGCTTCAATAGTTAACATTTCAATCCTTACCAAATTCATTTCTGATCCTTCTTGCATAAATGAGTCTATAGCATTATCTATTTCTGATATGGATAAATTTATATGTTCATTGATATCTTCTTCTGTAAGAATAATACGCATAAGGCTTCTGTGATAAGCAATTATAGTTAATGAACTTTTAAGTTTGTCTTTCCTTTTGCTAACATGCCCAGAATATATACATTGAGCAATTAATGCAGTTTTTATTTGATCTTTTTTACGCAATTCGGCTTTAAGAACTTTTGTAATTTGTTCTCTTGCATTTGCTATAAGTTGAGGCATATAGGGTGCTTCTAAATATTTATTACGGTCTTCAACATAATGATTGAATCTATATTTTATGTTTTTAGAAGATGGAATAACTGCTTGCCATAAACTCATTGCTGTTAAATTCTGATGAAGTCTTAAAGGATTTAAATTAGATTCGCATTCTTCGAATATTAACTCTTTGTTCATTAATCTATAATTTTTTCTTACTGGTTTACCACCAAAATTGCCTTCTACAGTTATGATATTTCTTTTTGAATAGTCATAGAGCAAGGTTCTAGCTAATTCAGGCCATTTTTCATCAATGCTTGCATTATATCTATCTTCCATATTATCAAACCATTCTGTATCATTTTGGGGAAGATTCGAAGAAACATTGTTTGAAAATATATTTTGAATAGGTGAAGAAGGTGTGCCATCTAATTGAATTAAATCACCTACTAGAACATAGGTTTGAGTTGGAATTTGATTTGTAGTAGGATTTTGTAGTAATGGTGTTGGAGCTACAATAGGATTTTGGATATTACTAGGTTTACATGGATTTTTTCATTCTAGATGTATACGAAGTTTTGCTAATTTAAGAAAATTTTTTCCATATCTATTACATGTATGTACTACCATAGTAAAATAATAGTATGAATTTGTATATGAGTGCTGGTACGTAATTCCTTATCCGTTACTTATAAAATATTTTTGTTCAATTTGAAAATTAATATGTACTAGGTATATATAAAAAAATGCAATTAGGCGAATATATATATGATTTTCTTTTATATACTGAAGAGATATGCAGTCGATCGTGTATGAATCCTAAAGGGTGCTAGCTTTATAAAAATGCAATCAAACACTTTCCTTGTACTGATTGTGGTAAACCTACTCAGTCTGGAAGTAAACGATGCCCAGATCATACTAGAAGCTATTATGTTGGTAAATATTATCAAAAGTATTATAAAAGGAAAATAGATACTTAATTTTTGGTACTTTGATTTATATATAGATAAATTGTATATGATATTAGATATGACGATGAGATTAATTTTTTGTCGTCATCTGATTTGATTATAAAATATAAAAATAGTGAGTTCTAGCTATATAATTTTTGGTACCCAGGTTTTTATATAGATACTAAAGAGTTTTTATAGAATATAGACTTCTTGAGCGAACTAAAAAGCAAAATGAATATTTAGTACTCAGGATACCAAAAAAGTGACCCCAGAACTCCCTTTATCGTCCTACTCCTTTTGCATGGCAGTCCAACAACCTATCCACTACACTAGATCGTCAGATCTCTATCTAAATTTAAACTTATTGCAATCAATACAAAAACAAGTATAAATGAACATAAAGTTCTAGTTGATAAATAAGAAGTAAATACAACTAAAGAAAAAGAAATAATAAGATTTCTAGAGATTTAAATAGGTTAAAAAGTTAGAAAAAAGCAAATAGTAGCTAAGGCAAAACAAATAGTTTAGCTTTTTACTAATATAATTAAAAAGAAGATAGTTTCAATAAGCTAAGTATTATATATAAACAATATATACTTAATATTAAAGCTAGAGTATATTACTACAGAGCATATTTCTAACTAAAGATGAATACAAAAAGATTTAGTAACTATATATAATAACTGCTAAAAATAAAATAAGTCTAGTAGGTCTAGTGATCTTAGTGTAGTAGTTAGGTTGTCAGACCACCATGCAAAAGGTCTGAGGTTCAAATCCTACTGTCGACGAATTTGAATAATTACCTAGACCTTTGTACTCAACTTACAGTAAACCCTATCTGTTTCTGGGGTTGTAACCCTGTAAATCACATTGCACCAATATCATCTGGATATTAGAAGTGTGATGAGGCATTTGGAGAGATGTAACATTACACAAATAAATCTTAATAGAATCTACGAGCAGGGGACTTGCATAGTAGAAATCCCGAATTAGTGAAGTAGTATGGCTTTTGATAGTCATACTAGCTAACGTTTGATCCAGAAGGATAGTATGCTCAAAGACTTTGATCGAGTTAGATGCGTATAAGTCTGTATCGTAGTGGGGATCACTGTATATTATAGTTACACCAACCTGGCTTAGCAGCTAACTGAATTGGGAAGATCTAACTCATGATAAGCCTTGGTGAGATCTCAAAATGATACTGGTGGAGAGCTACGGTAGGAACTAGGGTTGTATGAACATCTACAAGGTCTAAGCTAGGTGAGTTCGTGAAATGGGCATGGGCCGCTCTAGTAGGTATGCTTCAAGGTTTACTAGCTCTGCAAATATTCACAATATGTTGAGTATAATATAACTCGAGAAGATCTAAGCTGAAGTCGATAAATGGATCTGCAACGAACTAGCTGGCGTAAGCAGTTAGATATTACAGTAATGTTAGTTTGTAATGGTATAAGTTAGTTAAACAGAGTATTTAAATAGATAACTCACAGGCAGGTTACAGGTATAGCAGCATAGTATAGTACTAACAAGTGGTCTAACACCTGCATAGCGAACTACTTAAATTAGACAATGCCTAAAGTTGTATGTTTGGCTTGTTGTACACTTTTCATATAATTACAAACTGTAGGGGAACCCTATGTAGGACCTCATATATCAAACTAATAAAATTCACTCGGCAATGTAAGCTACCTTAATAACAAAAAAAAAAAAAAAAAAATAAGTCTAGTAAAGACTATTTTGAACTTTATAATATTATATAGTAGTGTTATAGATAGCATAGCCTTCTTAGTATACTATAAGTAACAGTAACATGACTAACTAATTACTTTAAGATATGGTGTTTAAGAGAAAAGTTTTTTTAACTAATTATAAAGACAAGTTCTACTCTACAAGAAGCAGTTTATTTAAGTTTATTTAATAATAATATATTTATTAATTATAAATATTTAGAGTCAAATACAAGAAAGGAAGGGAAATTAAGGTCTAAACAACTAAAAAGCAAGAGGAAGAATTCTATTTGTATTTATAACTTTTAGCAAATGTCATATAAGTGTTAGCAAAGTATCATATAAGTATCTTATACAAGCATCATTTAAGCATTTATGCAAGTGATAGTTAAACATCACTATTAATAGTTTGACACAATAAAAAGCACAGTACTTAGCACAGTTCAGTACAATTTAGCATAGTCTTTCAGTATAGTTCAACACAGTATTAGCATAGTATTTAGTATAGTTTTAGCATAGTTCTTAGCAAAGTATTTAGCATAGTTTGATATAGTTTTCAGCATAGTTTAACATAGTTTTAGCACAGTATTTTTTTGCTACAGCCTATATTTTCTTTAGTTGTTATATAATAACTTCAGATATAACTTATATCACTATATAACTGATATTCTTGGCTACAAAGTTACTTAAGGATATTTTTTGTTATAAATACTTCTTAAGATACTTCACTTAGTAGTAAATGTTTACAATAAATTTCTCTATTCTAAAATATCTATACTAAAATAATATAATATAAGAAATAACTAAATACTAATAAATATAACTAATAATATAACTAAAATATAATAATAATATAATAATAAAAATAACTAAAAATCTATTCTAAAAGGTCTGGTGATCTTAGTGTAGTGATTAGATTGCCAGATCACTATGCAAGAGGTTTGGGGTTCAAATCCTACTATCGACGAATTTGAATAATTACCCAGACCTTTGTATCTAACTTACAGTAAACCTTATTCGTTTCTGAGGTTGTAATCCTATAAATCATGTTGCACTAATATTATTCGTATATTGGAAGTGTGATAGAATATTTGGAGAGTATAATGTTATATGAATAAATCTTGATAGGATCTATAAGCAGGGGACCTGCATAGTAGAAATCCCAAGTTGGTGAAGTAGTACAGCTTTTGACAGTCATACTGGCTAACACTTAATTCAGAAAAGAAACTATTATCAAAAGATGCCTATCAAGTCAGGTACGCATAAATCTGTTCTATAGGGAGAATCGATAACACTAACCTAGCTTGGCAGCTAACTGGATTGGGAGAATCTGCCTCATGAAACATCCGAGAAGATAGAATACAGAAAACTAGTAGAAAGCTATAGTAGGAACTGGAGTTGTACAAATATCTACAAGGATCTAAGCTAGGTGAATCTGTGAAATAAGCACAGACTGCTCTAGTAGGATTGCTTACGAGGTTAACTGAAGCTCTGCATGTCACAATATGTTGAGCAATATGTATCTCGAGAGGACCTAAGCTGAGTTAGGTAAATGGATCTGCAACGAGCTAGCTGGCTTAAGCAGTTAGGTATTATAGTGATGTTAGTTGATTCTGGTATTGGTTAGGTGAATAGAATGTTTAAATAGGTAACTCACAAGCAGATTACAGGTATAGCAGCTTGTGTAGAACTAAACAGATAATCTAACTGTATAGTGGACTACTTAAATTAGATAATAACTAAAGTTGTACGTGTAGCAGGTTGTACACTCTTTATATAATTACAAACTGTAGGGAATTGTCAACAGACGACCTCATATATTAAACTAATAAAATCTGCTCAGCAAAGTAAGCCACCTTTAATTAAAAAAAAAAAAAAAAAAAATCTATTCTATAATAGTAGAATTCTAAGTATATGAATACTGTAGAATGTTCTAAAAACTAAACAAATATTAAATTTTATAAACAGGCTAAATAAAAACTGTGAAATTAAAGATATTAAAGAGATAAATATAAGACAAAGAAGGTCTGGTAATCTTAGTGTAATAGTTAGATTACCAGACTGCTATGCAAGAGGTCTAAGATTCAAATCCCACTGTCAACAAATTTGAATAATTATCCAGACCTCTGTATCTAACTTATGGTAAACTCTGTTCATTTCTGAGGTTGTAATCCTGTAAATCACATTGTACTAATATTATCCAGATATTAAAAGTGTGACAAGGCATTTGACAAGACATAACGTTATACAAATAAATCTTAATAGAAACTATAGGCAGGAGACCTGCATAGTAAAAATCTCGAGTTAGTGAAGTAGTACAGCTTTTAATAGTCATACCAGCTAATGCTTAATTCAAAAAGGAAACTATTATCAAAAGATACAGATCAAATCAGATATGTATAAATCTATTCTACAGGAAGGATTGATAACACTAACTTTGCTTGACAGCTAACTAGATTGGAAGGATCTGCTTCATAAAACATCCAAGATTATAGAATATAGAAAACTAGTGGAGAGTCACAGTAGAAACTGAAGTTATACGAATATCTACAAGGGTCTAAGCTAGATAAATCTGTAAAATAGGTACGGACTACTCTAGTAGGTATGCTTCAAGGTTAACCAGCTTTGCGATATCTACAATGTATTAGGTACAATGTATTTTGAGAGGACCTAAATTATTCTGGATAAATAGATCTGTAACAAGCTAGCTAGCTTAAGCAGTTAGGTATTGCAATAATGTTAGGTTGGATCTGTATAGGTTAATGAACAGAGTGTTTAAATAGGTAACTCACAAGCAGGTTACAAGTATGGCAGCATAGTGTAGAACTAATCAAATAGTCTAATCGCCTATGCGATAAACTACTTAAATTAGACAATAACTAAAGTTGTACATGTAGCTTGTTATATACTCTTTATATAATTACAAACAGTAGAGACTATCAATATATAT